GTTATGACCCGCTTAAACCACCTACGCACATGGTCAGTTGGTATCAACTATGTTTGCAACTCGCTGGGAAAGTACCCAAGCGTTAAGTTTTAAGCAATGAACAGGTTGCACATGGGCAGACTCCCCACTCGGCCAAACTACTCAGACCTCCAGTGGACATGGTCCTGTTTTGGTAGGGAAGTTGAAAGATTTCCCTCACACACTTGCCACTGGAGGCCTAGAGGCCTAAACAAGTAAATTTTGCTGGGTAAAGTGGGAATGCAGCAACCCAAACAAGCACAGGGCAAAAAGGCGAGTTACGTCTGACAATGACCATAGGACATACCAGGGTTCACATAAGACCTTGTGAGATTTTTGTGCCTCAGAACAGGGCAGGCGGTTCTTAGAATTGAGAGTTTTCATTTGGTTGCAACACTGGTGGGAAATGAAAGGAACCCGACCAGTTGTCTACTCATGACGTCTCTCCCTATCAATTTCATGAAGCAGCTGCCGCCCAGTCTCCACTTTGATTTGGGTGACGCGAAGGTTCCCGAGACCCGCAACCACTGTTTAGGTGAAGCTAGACCAGCACCAACGATTCCTAGATGGCATTTGTAGATGATTAGAACGAAAGTGAAACCAGTGGAATTCATTCTCCACCTATTATTTTAAACCCACAGACCCTTGCAAAGGACATGTATGGTCCTTATATCCCTGCGCCGGACCCACACCGCTGTTCCAGATGAGTGGCTGGTGGGTATGCTGAAAGCATCGCAGCAGGCAGCCAGAAAGTTCACCGTGTGGGTCTTCTGAAAGTCCTGTAAACAATCGAAAGGTCCCCATTGATCTGGGTGAATTATAATATTTCACCAGCCTGAAACCCGCCGACGCCAGTCGAGCGTGTAGATGGCAGTCCGCAACTTGGTCTTCCTTCGGAATCTCTTATCAAAGCCGAAGGCTTTGGGACTGCTATTTTTGGGCATGCTGTGCTAGGTGCCCAAAACCCTGTATTTGTCCCTTTCGTGCTAAAAATCTGCGTTTCGCCTAGGTCTCTAGGGGGGAGGTTCCCCTCGGACGCGCAGAATCTGCATCCCCAGCATCATCAGGATTATCTGGTTGCCATGAATTTGTCTCTCTTTTTTTTGCAGATACTAGTGGTGTTTTGCTGTTTCAAGCGATGTTGGAGTTGGCCTGTTAGGGGTTTGGGTGGGGCCAAGTGCAGTGATACTTTGAGGAACTCTTGAAATTTGCAATTCCCCACCTGTACGGAGCAGTTACTGCGAAACATCCCCTGCATTATCGTGCTTTTGGAAGTCGACTTTTAGGCTATTTGAGGGGGGTTGCTAGTATCGGTTTTTGGTGGTTGCTTTTGGGAAATATTCCGAACCGCCTTAGTGAAATCGCTACGCGATCCGCCGACGCCAGTGGACAGTCCCCTATTAATAAACTGGGGCTGATCAATCTGGAGTCAGCACTGGAGAAGAAGACTAGGGTCTACTCTTTAAACCACCCCCCGAAAGGGTATAAAAGCAAGGCCCCAATTTTTTTTGTAAGTACAACAAGGCCTTCTTGGCACTTTCCTGTTTTTCATGTCCCAGATGCTGAGGATGCTGGAAATGCAAGGGATGCAACCACAACTTACAGAAACATACCCAATCTTCGCGCTCAAGATTTTAAGACTTTCAGACACGCAACATTGACCAAACACCGAAAATGCCAGAGATGTGGGGAATGCTGGGAATGCAGCCGGCTAGCCACCACCAGTTGGGGTGAGGTCGTGTGAGGTCGCTATGATTCACCCAGATTGATAGATTCTGGATCTCAACCATCAGCACTGTGATGGCAAGAATCTAGAGGTTGTTTCCCATGCTCGTCACCCATCGTTCTTCTCAGAAACAGCACTTGCCTGGGTCCATTAAAGTGGCTGCATTTGCAGGTCTCAAAATCACTGCTGGTGTTGCTTTCCACCACCATTCTGAGGAGGTCATTTTCATGGACCCCAAAGAAGATTTTTCCGAAATCAGGAAATCAGGCCTGACCTTGGGACAGAACCAGGGGCCTTGACCCAAACTCTTGGAAACGGGGCTTCTGTGATACAACAGAAAGGGCTTCCCAAAGACTATTTTGTTAATAGACAGGGGGATTCCCTTGTACAGAAGTGGGGAGAAACCCCTTGATCCCACAACCCTGCTTGGAAACCAACAAGTGTCCTGTCCCATTCAAAAGCCTTCGAATCTTTGGCCTTTTGCTGCGATAAGCTCGACTCCAGCTTCTCTGAGAAAACGGACCCCAAATGATCCCACACTCTTGTTTGGTGGGTAAAACTGGCCTCATTATTTTACTTTCATAACCCCCAAAAACCGTCAAAATAACGACCCAGGTAAAAGCTCGCTTTTTAGAGGCAACCCCCGGGCAAAACTCCCAAGACGTGGGTATTCATTTGGAAGACCATCCCCAGCCCAAGATTCCGCGCCCATTCGTTCAATGGAGCCTGGCCAGGAAATGGTCCAACTTGAAATGTACATTCCGTCAGGTAAGAGCACTCACAGAAGTGCACAGGAATTAGGAGGGCTTTGAAAGACTATCATCTTCAACGGGCTTGCTGCCCACTTCTGCTAGAAAGAGGGTACTCTTCCACCAACCTGCTCTGACATGCACAAAAACTCCCAAACCTGAAACTCACGGATCTCCAAGCAAAAGGCCATGAGCTCGCTGGCTTTCCCCATCCGAAAGCCGAAAGCAGCCGCTTTCCTCTGGCCCCATATGTCGCAGCACTCGAAAGAAGAAGCCCTTGTCCACCGCGAGGCCCGCTCCAAGGACCTTGATACGAAGTCATGGGCAGATGGGTCACATGGAAAAACCGACGACCACCTGCCCAAGCTCTTTGACTTTGGGCCATACCCTCCGAATGTCAGGATAGGTGTCCTTTTGGGAAATGGAGGGGTGGTCCTGGTAGATGAAACAACCCAAACAACGAAGCTTTGTTCCACAAAACGAACTAAAAGGACACCTATGGTCATGAAATCAAATGGGTGCGGCTCTAAAATATGCGCCCAACATGGGATTTTGGTGAATGGAAACATGGACGAAAAGCTACGGTCTGGTGGTTTCATAAGTCATGATCACAAGAGGAAGAACCTAATTAACTCGGGCTCCCAAGTCCAGTTGGGCATTTTCAATCTGAAAGTGACCCAGGTTCTACTCAACCTGTTTCCGGAGGACATATGTGAAGCCTTGAGTTTGGCTTCCCAGGTGAGCCGGATGCCACGGAAGTATCAGAAGCTAAAGCGAACCTTTTTGGTGGTTCAAAGACCAACCAGAAAGGGAACGCCAGTTTTCGGGGATCCAATATTCGATTTTCAGACATGCCGGCTTGGTTGGACCCAAACACATGATCTGGATGATGTAAGCAGTGGCCAAAACCGACTGACTTTCTGCTATAGCAACATGATTAAGTGGTGGTATAGAATATGTAGTACATGTAATCATTGTGAACAAAATACATCTATAAACGTACATATGGCCGGACCATACCCCCTAATCATAAGGCCACAAGCCCATATACATCGTAACTGCTAAAAGGGCCACGATAAAAACTCCGAATCTGTGCGAAATGGTCAGTCTACATGACAGAACCCTTCTCCTCACTTCCGATAATTGGCCTAAAGAATCAAGCCGGCTCTTGTAATTAATTGCCACTCAACAAATATAATGTCCGAACTTGGGGCGTAAAATTTGATGATGGTGCGATGGCTGCCTGGGCCTGGACCCTCAGAACGTCATGGGTTCAGCTTTAGACAACTGGAGGGGGCACAACCCGTTGGGTTGGTTGGACTTGGGGTTGGCATTTGGGGCCCGTCAGTCCAAAGACAGACCATGCCGCAAAGCCGAGGGACGACACAAAACCGATACCCTTTCACCTGCAAACCGATAGGAATTCTCCCACCCGAAACCGATATCCTTTGTCAGTGCACACATAAGAAAGGAGTTGCTGTGGGCGCCCATGTTTCGCGGGAGCCAAAGGGGATTAAAGGGTTGGATCCATTGAGCTGTCGTGGCATGTGAATCTGACCTGAGCTGACTGGCTATGTTCTGGTTGGCCCTAGATATGAAGAAGAAACCTGGCAACAGAAAGCAACACTGTTTGGAAGCAAAGAGTGGATTCCATTGAGCATCTTGGACAAGTGAAGGTTGTCCTCTCGGTGTCCGTTTGAACCAAGGTGATACCATCAACACACACAAACCCATAGATTGTGCCATTGTCAAAAGACCCATTTACTCGTGGTTAACAGGGATGGTCATCCACCTCTTAAGGAAAGATTATTATGACCGTTATACTGATTTCTATTCAATGGTCATGTCCTTGCCGGTAAGCCCGTTCAGAAGATCCATGTCTCCTTGGACGATTTTGAGGATAACATGTTTCGTCGGCGAAGCTGTCATCAGTATGCTTCCTTCTTTGTGAGGACTCGATGCAACGCTTTTGGGCATTGGGATGCCCACGACATTGCTTCCAAGCTCCATCTGGGCACAGGAGCTTTCTCCGTTTATATGTTAAAAATCATTCCGCTTGAGTTCCTCGAACGTCTCGACAAGCTTTCAAAGGATGAGCTTGTTTCTGTTCTGGGTAAGAACCCTACCATGAAGCTGAACCACGCAATTTACAGGCGGCAATCCTTTGCTGACCTGTGGCGTGCGAGAAAAGGATAATCAGACTGTTAAGATTCATTGTTTTTTTTGCCCGGATTGGTCTCCTTGTGAGCCGGAGTGTTCCCTTTGAATTTTCCGTGTCAAGTGCAACATCGCTACCTTCGCCTGCTTTAGCGCCCGGTCAGGCTGAGGCTGCACGGTTGACTACCATGCTTCAGGTTAGTATCCTCGAGAAGATCAAGGCCTTGCTTTGAGGTTCCGTGTACTGACGTTGCGCAGGTGGCAGGGTAGAATGATTCCTGTTAAAAAGGATGCTATGACTCGAGCGAGACCGAAGACCATAGGCCATATAAGGAGGTCTTGATCATAGCTCACGGATATGAATTCAGATAGGCGGCATGACGGAAGCATTGGCTCAGGTAGATCTCCCCGCGTTCGGGTTCACGGTTGGGGTCTGCCAGCAGCCTCTGGTGCTGTTGGATCTTCTCCACCTAACATCCAAGCGCCTTCTTGAGGCTTCAAAGGGAAGCCAAAAGGGCAACCTCCCTTTTGGAGGCCCCAATTTTGACACGTACCCAATTTTGGCCAGAAGGGTCCCCTGTTTTGAGGGTATCCGTTGAGGATCTAACAAAACTCGTTCTTCTGCGCCCAAATTAGGGCTGGGTTCAAGATAAACAAAATGTCAAGCGCCACCTTAGAGGGCAACCGTTGTCACAGTGACTGGTCCCACCTGGCGCATGTAGATGGAGTGGGCCTCTTGTCGCTTGCGCTCCACGTTGGATCGGTGGGGCTTCAGGTACTGAAGCACCGACAAGTGGGAGGCGTTGGAGGTGACGCTCGGCAGGATGGACCTTTGAACATGGGAACTTGCCAGTCCTCAAAAGGGGCGATCAGGCCTTCTAGGGCTACCTTCCCATTCTTTCCACGGATCCGGTTCTTTCTTGACAACCCACGGAAACTCGGGAAAAGCGGCTAGTTAATTGAAACGAAAAGAAATGGGGAGCCAACCCCAAAAATTCTAGGGTACCCGCTTTTGGGGGATGTTGAAAAGAAGAAACATCTCAGGGTGCCCCCTTTGGGGGTTGTTTTGAAAGGATGGTTTTGCGGACACCTTTCCAAAACGTTCACTGGTAATGGTTTCCCCAAAGAAATTTGAGAACCCCTGAACATGTCCACTTTGCGGACCCACCGCGCATTACAGGACCATATTTGTTGGTGAGTGGAAGGGTAAAACTGTCGTGTTCTTTGATTCCGCAAACAGCCCCCGTTTTGAAGACTCTTTTTCTTTTGGTGAAGAAGCCACTTTTCGGGTTCCTTCCGTTAATCGGCGAGAAACCAACGTAAAACCAATCAGTTTGAGGCCTGCCGACAATGGTTCGCCCAAGGGCACATGGGAAATTGGGCCCGGCCGCCTGGTTTTTGTGGCTGAAGGGTCCGAACGTTATCCCAGTGTTCATAGGGTTTTAAAATTTCATCCTCCCAACTTGCCAACTGCCTGGATCTCTTCCATCCACAATTGCTCACACGAGACAAACCCTGAGGCCAAGAGGCTGCTGCTTCATGTTCTGTATCTCCTGGCAGGGTTTTGACATCCACGGTTTAACGGGTTTTCTGAGCCACTACATAGCCACCATACGATCCTAAACCTCTTTTGAGCATAGCCCACCCGCACTCCGTTCTGGGGCTTGCTCAAAGGAGGGTCGAAATCTCAGGGGTCCTTCCAAAACTTTCCCCTCGGGCCCCCCCTTCTGTTGGTTTCTATGTGATTCACCCCTCTTGGACATGTGCTGCAAAGCACTCAGTTTTGCTGAAGGACCAACATACCAGGGATTGCAGAGGTTCCCTCATAGGTCTTATTTTGTTTGAGGCTCCGTACCTTTTTGGGTTGCTTTACAGGGGAAGGAACACCTCTCACCTGTCTATTTAATCACGGTTGTCTTGCTTGAAAGGCAACCGAAGGAACAACCCATGTCCTCGTGGTCGTATTGGATGCGCTTCACACGCCGCTGCAGGCGGTCGCTGAGATTGCCCTGGCGCCATGGTTCTTGGAAAACCCCCTTGATGTGATGCCAAAACGGGAGTCCCATCCCTATCACAACTTCCTACATCCAAATTGTTCCTCGGTATCACAAGCCTTTATGACAGAAAGTGGCAACCTAAAACCCAACGTTCCCCTTCAAAGGGAAAACAACGGCAGGTTGCTTCAACTATGTGGGTATGTCTCAAAATAGAGGGCCCACCAAAATGGACTTCTCGGTTTGGTTTCCCTGTAAACCAAGCCGTAGAGGTCACACGCCTGGCGCCGCACGAAGTTCTCGTGGAACCGCTGAGCCCGGGTCTCGCACTTCGCCACCACGGCGGTGAATGAGCTCACGACTTCCTGTTCGCAAAGCTTCTGCAACTGAAAGCGAGAGATGGTATGAGTTGTCCTCCGGAAAACAAGGTACAACATGGACACATTGGAATATATACATATAATACACTGTACATATGTGTATATATATATATATACATTTATACACATACGCCCGCTCCCAGTACTTTCCAAACTAGCAATTCATACATACACTATATATTTTATATGCTTGTTTCTATCAGGGCAATTTAGAATAATTCTTAGCTCGTCACCTCGTTGACTAAATCTGTGTTTGGGTGAGAGAGAGAAACAATAGAGAGAGAAGACAAATAGAGAGGGAGCGAGAGGGAGAGGGAGACGGAGAGGGAGAGACAGAGTCTTTCAGAAAGAGCCAGAGAAAGAGAAAGAGAAAGAGGGATAGTGCTCCGAACCTCTTTTGATGTATTTGAAACTTCCAGCCCTCTCTGCCGGACTTTCTGGCTTTGTCCCTTGTGGGACGCAACTTTAGAAGACTCCCCCCACTGCCCGGAAATCTTGATGGGCCTGCCGTGCCTGCCAGCCACATGTGCAAGTGCCCAAGGAATGTGTTGCCCCTAAAGTCTGCTCAGGGTTATGGGTTTCTTGGGTTTTGGGGTTTGGGGCTTTCAGGCTTTATGGTTTTCGTGGCGGGTGCAAAGGGAAAAACCACTTCAGCGTTTTGTGGGCTTGGGTTTCTTAGGGTTTAGGGATTGGGAAAGGTTTGAGGTTTAGGCTTCTCAGGAATTCAAGATGTGTTCAAAGGGGGTTTAAGGGCTTGGGGTTCTTAGGTTTAAGGCCTTTTGGGTATTAAGGCCTTGTCATCAGCGTTTGAGGTTTTGAAGATTTCCATTCTTTCAGGGTTTGCGACGATGCTTTTCACCTCCAAGCTTGCTCTTCGCATCTGCCAAGCCCCTTTTAATAGATAGATAGAGGCGCAGGTCCACCAAAGAACACGCTTGACAGCCGGGAGCCGTCGGCGGGAAGCGCGCACAGAGCTTGGGCGGAGTGTTAACAGTGTGCCTCGCTTTCCGCCTTACATTATACACCTGAACATTGCAACTTGTAAATGGTGGGTTCCAACTTTATTTTGGTGTTGAAAAAGCCATGAATATTTTGCTGGAAAAAGCCATGTTTCAATTGGTTGCAACATGAATTTCTTTTAAGGAGCCCTGGCTAAGTAGCCTGCCGCCTACGGGCAGGCGTCCTTCATGTGCACCTGCGCCGCCTTCTCGTTCCTTGGATGCGCGGGCGGCAGCTCCCGCAGGGCCCGGGAATGCTCCACGCCCTTGCGGAGCTTCTTGCACCGCACCACGTTCCTCAGCCAAACGCATCCGCAAAAGCTGGGGAAAAAAAAACCCGACAAAGGCCAGTGACAAGAAAAAACACAAAAATATATGACAAAACCATATTTGAGCGACATCAGGACCTGCAGGAAAGAAACTCATAACGCTAAAACATGCTAAAACCCGGTCTTGTTGGTGAGAATGTGGCGATTCTTTTTTGGATTTCCCTTTTGCTTGTTTCTGCGTGTTGGACCCTGTCCCCAGCCAGTGTACTCAAGGTTCCCAAATCAGCCGACTCCATGCCCGAAACCCTGGCCTTTCGGGTTTCATGGGCTTGAATGGACGTCACTTGCAACATGGACTGGATAAGGGCTGATTTTTAAATTCAATATTTCCCACCGAGCCTCAAAATTGACTACATATTGTTGCCAAACACACCTCACCTGATCTCCATCTTCCCATACTCCACAAATTGACCAGGAGGACGTTTTGACCACGCACTTAACTAAACAATCTCTGTTGCACAGCTCTATATAATAATGAATATGTTTCGCCCACTTTCAGTCAGACTTTGTCAGTCGGTGCTCGTGTCACATGGCACCCTGGTTGAACATGGCCCATGTTCCCTGAGAGCAAGCCTTCATGAGTTGACCCCACTTGTGCCTCCCCGAATTGACATTGCCGAATTTGCCAGTTGGGGCTCTTGTCCTGATATTCGTTCTGAAATGATCATACTCCACAAAACCACCACCAAATACAACAATACAGGTGGAATCCACCGAACAACGCCGCTTGGATTCACGGTCTTGTCTCTGCCTCCCAAATTGACTCTAGACTGGATCTTTTGACCACAAACCTTGGGATTGTTTTGAGGGCAAACCATGGTTGCGCCCAGCCACTTTCCTCACATACCCTGCCCTTCTTGCATTCTTTGTCAGGCTGGGCTCTTTTTGCATATTCTCCACTGGCACTGACCATAGCCTACATAGTTTGACCATACACCTGACTTCATTCCAAACAAAAAGGCACACCACACATCAGACACATGTTGACCACATGTGTGGATTCGGGCCACTTGTCATGCCTTCCAAATGGACCAGCGACGGGATAAACTTATCAAACGCGCAACGACCACAAAACTCATGGCCAGCAACATCAAACAACAAGGCCACACCATGCCTGTGTGGATCTGGGGCGCATGTCCAAAAAGGAACAACACTCATCCACAAAAGGGGAAGTCACACAAGAGGGCAACAAATTGGTGGTCAAAACCTCCGCAATAATCCCCTGCCTTTGCCTAAATTTTCAGATTGCGCTTCATATTTCGTCAACCTTCCCATCTCAAAGGAGACGCAGCTGACACTTTGGATCCACGGCTCTCCTGCCTCAACCTGACCGGAGATATGTCGGCCCTTTCCCAAAACCGAAGGCCATGAAAACCGCCTCTTTCCCTGAACCAAAAAGGGTACCCACCGCATATTCTGGGTCTTGTCAAAATGGCCGTTTCCAACATGGTGACCCTTTCATAACTGGGGACCATTCCTTTGACAAACTCAACTTCTCATATTCCATGCAATCACCAAGAAGGATTTAAAGCATGGAATCCATGGAAGGTTTCTCCCTGGCCCACAGAAAAGGGACTTGCAACCTTGGCCTATATCGAAGCTCATCTTGCCGCGCTTGTCCTCCATCCTACATGTCCATAAATCCTCCACAAAGGAACACACAAGGGTCAACCGGGTTTCTAGGCATGGGTTTGGCGGTATGGAGGGTACGTGCCACTTCTATAAGGGGTATATACTGCTTTACACACTAAACCATGGTGGTATATAACCATCCACAGCTCCAAACCACATGCTCGAAAACACCCTACGGGAAACCATGAATCCACATAAATCCTCCATAAACAACAAGGGAACCCGTCCTCCATAAACCTCCATACATTCCCACAAAATCCTCCAAAAGCAAAAACACACCGTTTTTTTTTTTTTAAACAAAAAAACAAAAAACAAAAAAAAACAGGGGAAGCCACCGATCCATCTCCCCGTCTGATCAATCGGGGCGCTTGTCCTGCCTCGCCTGCAGATCCGCGATGGACAGCGCCAGCTTCGCCGTGGCCTTGCCCTCGTCGAAGCCGCCCCGCCGGCCCCGGCGCAGCGCCCCCAGCATCTTCCTCCGGCTTCCGGCGGGAAGCCGGGCGCGTGGGTTCCGGGCCCCGGAAGGGAAGAGGCGGCAAACCCGCAAACCGCATAAACACAAAGTAAGTGGCCCAAGAGAACAAGAGAAGGAAGGAAAACCTGGGATCATATGGTGTGGAACATTTTGACGAGCGGGTGGCCAGTAGCCAGTGGGGGGAGGCAAACGAGAGGGGCACTGGCCAATTTAATGTGGGCTTTGGGTGCTATGACTGACCAATCGGGCGAGCTGCACCGATGGTCTAGACATTTGCTGAGTTATGGCCGGTTGAGCCCTGGCAATCTTGGAAAACCGTACAATGGCCTAGCTAGGCACTTGTAAAGGCCAAAAGTGGGCACAAACCAGCAGGGAAGTTGCGGAAGAATTAAGACCAGCGCGGACGACTGACGCGATACTAAAATGGGCTGCGTACTCTTGTGCAAATCACCATTGAGCCTGAAAATGGATCCCCAAATGGGGCATGGTCGCTCGTCTGACTTCATACTGACACTCAGGAGACAACATGTTGATAGGGAGCCATTGGGCACGTTGGCATGTCAACATTCAACCGTGACCATGCTGGCAAAACAGGCTTAAGTGGTGCACCCACAACTCACTTTTTACCAGCTTCCAGGGTAGGAAATGGAATCCACTTCCGTGACAGATTTGCTGCTACACTGACTAACTCTTCATTTCAAGGAGATTCTCTGGTGGCGACCATTCCCACAAACTGCCAGCTCCTGTTTATGTTTCCCAGTCCTCGCTACTTTGCTATGCGCATGCCAGCAGTACCAGCTCGCAACTTGTCCGTGTGCACAATGTGAGCAATTCAAGGGCCTTCTGAAAAGGCGTGCATCCATCTAGGACCCTTTTCGAAAACAAAAAGCAAACTCAGTGACGAGACAAAGGAAGTCACACGTTGACCCCCTGCAAAGAATTAAGTTTTGCCTGATTCGTGGAAAAATTGTCATGCTCCGAAATGATGCCGCAACAACATCTATCATAACATGCCACTGCAAGGGCAACCAAGGCAATGTTGCTCATATTTGGACGAGCGGCACATCCATGCTCTGCAAGCTCTCAACCGCCTCTTCCGCATCCATGCTCAGAAGAAGCTGCACCTCCTACGGAGGGGGTGTATGTGTGTGTGTATGCGCGTTCAAGCCCAAAGCGCCCGGAAATATTGCAGGTTCGTCTTCTGGGGCTTCGGCTTAAGATGAACCAACGACAGGGAAACCAACAGGCTGAAAGGTGGAGCTGCTTTGGCCAAGTGTATCCGATGTCGCTTCATTACCTCGAACGATCCCCGCCTCAAAGATCATCGAGGCACGGGGCCTCAAGCATGCTGCTGGGTGATGCGATGGCTAAGAAGCTCATTCCAACCAAAATGGAAGCAAGGGCAGCGTACACCCCTGCTTCACATCATCCAGGCCACTCTGAAGCTGCGAGTGACCCAGTTAGGCTCTTGCCAAGGACACTTCATCTGAGATCCTGTCCCAGTCCGGTCTGGTCATTGCTTGCTCAAGGTTTGGTCTGTCACAGCTGCCCCAGCCCGGCTGGCGGCTGTGGACACTTGGCGGAGCAGCTGAGCCGCAGGCTTCCGACGGTCAGTTCCTGACAGTTCCTGTCTGTCACAGCTGTCAGTCGAAAATGTCTGTCATAGGACGGTGGGTGGACAGACTGTGGGCGGACAGGCGGTGTGTTGAATTCTTGCGAGCGGGCGGGCGTGTCGGATGTCACTTGGATGTCACTTGAAATCTAAGAACCCCAAGCCTGCGGGGTGGGGAATGATAAGACGTCACTAACCTCAAAAGTGATTTTGAAGCAAGGAACCTTCATAGACGAGCTGATTGCAATCCTAAATCCCAATCCAGAGCAACAAGTCGTCCTTTCCTTGATTGGATCCTACTGATCCTTTAGCCTCAAGCATTGATCACTCCCGTTCACCGGCCGTCTGACTGGCTATCATAGATGATCGGCCAAGCAGGCTACCCATTGTTCTACAATTATCCAAGTCTCACAAGGCCTCCTTCTATCGGTGATCAACCGCCGTGGCCCCTTTCTTGTCAGGACTAACACAAAATAGTGCTGATTGTCGCTTGTCCTCATCCAATCTTCTTGCTCTTCTGTCACATGAACCGTTACTCATCTGTCACCACCCTTGTGGATTACTGTCAGCTCCTTCCACTCTCTGATATCTGAGTGGATAGCGTATTTGGACAAACGTGAAGCATTGGTGCATGGCCCTTGCCCGCGGGTGGAAGCAACAACTGACATGTGCTTGCCTTCTTTGCAAACAACAGCCAGGGCTCCCGTTTGAATCCAATTTGGGGGCTGGGCCGGAGTGTTTCTACACAAATGCTACACAATTCTCTTGACTTTCCACTTCTTGATCCTTGCCCTCATCCTTCCTCTCCACTTCCATTGGGAGGATGTCACAGCCCAAAGGAGAGGCAACATGTGCGTTTTCGCTGTTCGCTTGGTCTCTCCCATTCAAATCCTCTACACACCCTTATCAAATTTCAATTCCACGGACCTTCACCCCCCTTCACGTTCCAGGATTCCACCTTTTCGGACACATCCCATTAAAAATGCTCTTTCTGTACCGCATCTCCTGGCTTGAGCCCTAGATTCCCTGAAACACTTGGGTTGTACAGATGCCCCTCGAATAGTAGTGACTTGTGGCTAATAGGCGCTCATGGGGCCGGCTCTGCGATGCAGCTTTTTTCTTGCCGCCAACTACGGAAGCCGAAAACCTTCAGTTTCAAGCCCCTTTCAAGGAGAAACCAAAACAACTCCATGATTGATTGGCCATATGCAAAGTTTCAAAAAAATAGCAATCGGAGCTACACGGGTGTGTCTTTCTTTGAGGGTACTAGTATCCATTTGTTGGTGGTGTTAAAGGGACACCAAAAGAGCCTGCTCTTTTTTTTGCAGTCACAAAAAGTGCACAGTCCCCCAGTCTCCAGTGTTTTTTTTTGGGGGGGGAGAAAGAACACACTCAAATTGAGCTCACAGAGAGAGAGAGAGAGAGAGAGAGAGAGAGAGAGAGAGAGCGAGAGAGAGAGAGCACTCCTTGAGCAGCTCCAGCTCTTCCTCCATGGCCTGCACCTGCAGTTCGCTGGGCGATGGGCCGCTTCCGGGGCCGCTCCCAGCAGATTCGCGGAGCCGCGCCAGCGCCTGCCGCGGACTCGCTTTCGCGCAGTCAGCTCTTGAGTTCCTATCTCTAAGGGGCAGGATTGCCCCGGCTCGGAGCCGAGCGCCTGGAAGCCTGCGCTGTTAGCTGCCTGAAAGTAAAGGCCGCAGCCAGAACCCTGCGCTGAAGCAAGCTCAAGCAATGCAACTAAGCAGACCCACCAATCCACCCACCAATCAAACCACAAGCGCCTGCCAGGGGAAAGGCCTGTCAAGCCAAAAGACTTCGCACACACCCAAACTCAAGCGGGCCGCACCCCAACAAACCAATACCCTAAAACACGCTCACGCTGAAATCGGCGTCCCCGCTGTGTTCCATTTTCGCACTGTTTCAGGAATGTGTTCCGATAAGATCGGCGGCACTTTCCTGCACTCAGCAATATGGCCATCCTCAAATGTCACACATTTATCATGACATCAACATGATCGGAGTAATTCCTGTTGAGGAAGCACACTTCCAAGGAACACGCTGGCACAAAGGTTAACGTCACATCTCTGCGCCAACTTCTCCAACTCGGGCAACAAGCACTTCTGGCCTGTGTTGCCTTTGTAAACACGCAAGTACACGTACGCGCGCTACTGGTCATGGAAAAACGAGAACGGAAGGTTATCATTTTGGGCCGTGGATACAGTACAATGGGGGAGAAGGGCGTTCTCATTTTGAGCATGCGTATTTCCTGGTGCTGGAGACAGTAGAATGGACCTTGGGCATCCTTATCATCTTGGGCAATGCGTGCGATTCATGGTCATGGGTGCAGTAGAAAGGAGGCGTTGCTATTTTGGGATATCCGCCGACCCCTTTGCAAAAGCCAAGTTAGTCTCTGCAAAGGGGCGAGGCGTGTTCTAAGTGGTGGTTAGGGGAGTCTGAGGGGGGGAGGGGGGGTCCCGCGGCGGATTTTTGACACGCCTAACCTCTAACTCTAACCTCTAACTCTAACCTCTAACCCTAACCTCTAACCCTAACCTCTAGCCCTAACCTCTAACCCTAACCTCTAACCCTAACCTCTAACCCTAACCTCTAACCCTAACCTCTAACCCTAACCTCTAACCCTAACCTCTAACCCTAACCTCTAACCCTAACCTCTAACCCTAACCTCTAACCCTAACCTCTAACCCTAACCTCTAACCCTAACCTCTAACCCTAACCTCTAACCCTAACCTCTAACCCTAACCTCTAACCCTAACCTCTAACCCTAACCTCTAACCCTAACCTCTAACCCTAACCTCTAACCCTAACCTCTAACCCTAACCTCTAACCCTAACCTCTAACCCTAACCTCTAACCCTAACCTCTAACCCTAACCTCTAACCCTAACCTCTAACCCTAACCTCTAACCCTAACCTCTAACCCTAACCTCTAACCCTAACCTCTAACCCTAACCTCTAACCCTAACTCTAACCCTAACCTCTAACCTCTAACCCTAAACCTCTAACCCTAACCTCTAACCCTAACCTCTAACCCTAACCTCTAACCCTAACCTCTAACCCTAACCTCTAACCCTAACCTCTAACCCTAACCTCTAACCCTAACCTCTAACCCTAACCTCTAACCTCTAACCCTAACCTCTAACCCTAACCTCTAACCCTAACCTCTAACCCTAACCTCTAACCCTAACCTCTAACCCTAACCTCTAACCCTAACCTCTAACCCTAACCTCTAACCCTAACCTCTAACCCTAACCTCTAACCCTAACCTCTAACCCTAACCTCTAACCCTAACCTCTAACCCTAACCTCTAACCCTAACCTCTAACCCTAACCTCTAACCCTAACCTCTAACCCTAACCTCTAACCCTAACCTCTAACCCTAACTCTAACCCTAACCTCTAACCCTAACCTCTACCCTAACCTCTAACCCTAACCTCTAACCCTAACCTCTAACCCTAACCTCTAACCCTAACCTCTAACCCTAACCTCTAACCCTAACCTCTAACCCTAACCTCTAACCCTAACCCCTAACCTCTAACCCTAACCTCTAACCCTAACCTCTAACCCTAACCTCTAACCCTAACCTCTAACTGATGATGACGAAGTCGATAATGATGATGATTGATAATGATGATGATGATGGATGATGGATGATGGATGATGGATGATGGATGATGATGATGATGATGATGATGATGAAGATGATGATGATGATGATGATGCTGAATGATGATGATGATGCTGATGATGGTGATGATGATGATGATGATGGTGGTGATGATGATGATGAATGATGATGATGATGACGATGATGATGATGACGATGAGTATGATGATGATAATGATGGTGCTGATGATGATGATGATGATGATGATGATGCTGATGACGATGCCGATGATGATGATGCTGATGATGGATGATGATGATGATGATGATGATGATGATGATGATGATGATGATGATGATGATGATGATGATGATGATGATGATGATGATGAT